CTTCAATAGGTATTGTTGATGCATTGGCGTTGAACTCATGGCCAATAGCACTGTATCTCAGGGTCTGAATGAAGCTTTTTCTCACACACATCTTTTCTCCAGAAGGCACATCACAGCCTCTGTGCTCGGGAACACTACACAGCATTCAGGCACTGGGCTTAGAGGCTCTTTTAAACAGCAAAACTACCAACAAAAGAAGCACAAAAATGAGGAAAATGTGGCACCACACAGACCTCAGAAGAGATAGGTCTTTACAGTACGAGAGCTGAGACCAGGAGCAGAGCGTCACCTTGCCTAGCCTCGGCTGGGAACACGTGAGTCAGACAACTCAGGTTTTTTCGCTGCTCCGGGAATATCTGAAAATGACTGGGAAATTGCGTGTATTGGGGGTTCCAGATAAATTTTGGCGAGTAGGCAGATTCACAGTACAGAATCCCGAGAGTAGTGAGGATTGTGTGTTGCAGTCAAGTGTGAGCCATAGAACCCTGCGGAGCTGCCACTCCAGCCAGTGGTCTTACGGAGGTTTCCAGAGCAGGCGAGGCCTTAGACCAGGGTCTGCAGACTGGTCTATGCAAGTAGCCAGAGAGAAGATATTTAGGGCCGTGCAGTCCATGCGGTCTCCGTGGCAGCTACCCTGTGCCATTGCCACACAAAAACAGCCATGGACAGTACTGTGCTCCCCATAAAGCTTTAGTTTTGCACAGTGAAATTTGAACTTAAGATAATCATCATGTGTCACAAAATGCTATTCTTACTCTGATTTTTTTTTTTTTTTTTTCCTCCCGACCACTAAAAGAATCTCCAAACCATTCTTAGTTCATGTGCCAAACACACGCAGGTCGTGGTCAGATTTGGCCTGAATGCCATAGTTTGCCATTTCCTGCCTTAGATGCTACTAGGTAGGAATGCTTATTAATTATGAGAAACACAAAATAAGTCAGAAAAGGACAAAGGATAACATTTAAAAGTTTACCTAAAATTCCAAGGCCCAGGGATTTCCATAGACAGCACATAAATCCCCCTCATTGGCACACGTGGCCCCACACATCCATTTGTGGTCCTGTAATTAATTTACCCCAGGAGAGTATGTGGTGGACCTTTCTCTGTGTTAGTAAGGACAGCTCTCCGTCATTCGTGTAATGGCTCACGGTCATCTTCCATAGCTGGATCATGATTTACGTTAACTTGTCCTTTGCGAGCATCTTTTAGATCACGTTCAGTTCTATTTGCTTGTTTGCTGTTACAAAGGATACAGAATGAATTCCACATACTCACCACACAGCTGGTGTTGTGAGGGAGACAAAGATGAGTCCTATCATACATACCCTGCCCTCAGGATACCTTAATTCAACAAGCTGCACAGGTGACACGAAGCAGTTATCCTGGCCCAGACAGGGGTGGTTTCCGGAAACAGAGCTCCAGTGCTCTGGGGGCTTGAAGTTCAAAGGGTCCAACTTCCTGGGCCAGCTGAGGACACCAAGCTCCTGCCTTTCCTGGGTTGGCAGCTCCCTTCTGCTTGGGTTCGAGAGCTTCAGAGAACTTCAGAAAGGGGGCCGCAGAGATCCTCTGGTCATCACCCCACTGCCTGTAGGGGGAAAAACAGAGACTCAGGTCGAAGGAATTATGGAGAGTCAGAAACAAACTTAGCGGACCTCAAATCTGGGTGTCTCTGGCCTGAGTTAAGGCCTCTTGACCCTGTTTCAAGCTCCCAGAGTGCTGTTTTTCCAAACGTTGTGGATGGATCTCTCCCGTGCCATGCCAAAGAGACCTTCTCAGTGGTCCATGGCTGTGGTGATGGTGGTGGGTAGGAGAGATGGTGGGTGGGTTCATGAGACCCCAAACTTCCAGCCGTCTAATTCATGATACAGTAAGAATGTGTTAGCTGCGTCTTCCTTCACTTTTTAGCATGAGCAGATAAAACCTGGACACCAACTCCCTCATTTACATTGGGAGCCATCCACAGCCTGTTACCCATCAGACAGGAGCTGGGTGACGAGTATTCTCATTTCTCCGTGTCAGGGATGATGCTGCACCTGACCAAGGTGCAGGTATAACAATCATATGAGATTAACCTAACAATCAAAAATAGATAAAGTTACTTCTCAGAATCCCGTTGTGCTTATGCACAAAGATGTTGGCCGTAGTGGTATTTATAACAGCGAAAAATCCGAAATGGCTTTAATGTCACAGAATATGGGAGTGGCCGAAGGAATGGTAGCATGTACAGAGAATTCATGATCCCAGCACTTAAGCATCACAGTGATGGTTTAGAAGGGCCACCTTCTGGGAAGGAAGGGCAGGATGCAAATCGTTTACGTGGCACGATGGTATGATAAGGAAAGACAGAAGTGCTATAAACATTCAGATAAAGTGGCCCGCGGATCGGCAGTCACATCATGATCAGCTGCTGTACGCCAGGCACCTGGAGTGATATTCTGCATATTCACTGTGCTGAGAGGTCACAGAGAGAAAGGGCCCCGGGGGGAAGAGGCCAAAAGGTCCAGGTGGAGAACTCTGCTCCAAGTGGTGACAGCAGTGAAATGAGGCTAAGTCAGGGAGTGTCTGCTTCGGGGAGCCTGGGTTAGTCTTCCACCGGGCCTCCATCCAGCCTCCTGGGCAGAAGCCCCCCTTCCCATCTCCACGCCCCGTGGGCTACGATGAGTGTGTTCATTACCCAGGACATCACACATGAGAAAGCCTCACACTGGCTGGGCGATGAGTTGGTGTTGCCGTCTGCAGTTGAGCCCCCCCACCTCAACCGCCCCCCCCCCCCCCCCCCCCCCCCCCCCCCGCCGGAACATTCCCTGGTTGTGACGGCACAGGGGGAAGGGCTGGCCAGGGGAAGCAGAGCTGGCGGGCCCTGGAGAAGCTCTCCTAGCTCCCTGACGATCCAAGGATGATTCATAATGATTGTAGCAGATGAGGCATGAGGTCCGTGGCTCAGACTGCAGCTGATGGAGGTCTTTTCCCAAGGAAGCGTGCCCAGCCTCCCAGAGGGTCGCCCCCCCTGCCGCCCCCTGGCCGTCTGGCTGGCCTGGGCCACCCGGTTCCCAGCGGTGCCGTCAGTGATGAGCGGCACATTATCGTGGGGCGGTGGTTCCTGTCCGCCTGAGAATGTCAGAGCCCGTTGTGCCTGCAGGATGATGCTGGAGCCACCTCCATGGCAGGAGAGCCCTGAAAAATGGCGATCACAGCAAGCTGGGGTGCGTCTTAATGTTCATTATTTATATATCTGGAAGATAATGAAAAGATGTGAAAAAGGTTGTAATTGTACCAATTTGAAAAATTAATAATCTAAGGAAGGAAAAGTGGCCAACACCACTGTGAAACGCATCCCACCTCTTCCTGAGATAATCCCTATTGTCACTTTGGTCATTTATGCAAACCCAGTGGTGTGCAGCTCAGCCTCTCAGGAAGGAAAAAAAAACCCCTGAATTGTAGGTTTGCTGACTGCAGTGGTGAAATCCCACCATGGCCAATTTCAGGCTACTAAAGGTTTAAAATCCAGTGTACACGATTCTTGAATCTTTAACTGTTGGCTTCTGTAAACCCGTGCATGGTCACAAGCGATCACTTTCTTTTTTGGGGGGCAAGGGGAGGAAATTGGAAACCCGTTACTCATAGTGGTCTGCATGTCATTTTCGTTTCCTGTGTTACATACCTCTTCCTCGACCAGCACATGCAGATTCACTTTGCTCATTTCCCTTACATAGTGGGGTTTCCATGAAGGTGCACTGTGTTGCTTCTGGAAGGCTCTTTGCAGATTCATGCCACCAGGAGAGGGGAGGGTGACGGCAGTTCTTAGCCTTCAGGGAGGCTGGCTCCTGCAACACTGGCCACATCTTGGAGACTTTTGGCCTCCCCCAAACGTATGATTCTAATCATCTGCAGGCTAACCGCCTCTGGGAGTGACACTTCCCTTCACTCTCACTCATCTTCAGGGCCCATTAGATAATCTCATTTTTCTTCTGGGGAGCCTTTCCTGGTGTTCCTCTCTTCCCCATGCCGGCTCTCCGAGGCTAGGTAATGTGCCTCTTCCTGGTTCCTTAGAACGCGGGGCTCCCATCTATGACGGTGGTGATGGTGGTCATTTATTGTGTGATGTCTGCAGAGTTCCTGTAGAGAAGCAGAGAAGCTCTGCCAGGCAGAAGAGCCCCCCGCCCCAATACCTTGGGCTATGCCTATGAAATTGTTACTTTCCCTGGGAGAAGGGACTTTGCAGATGGAATTAAGGTGACCCATCAGTGGGCATCTATGGAGATTATTCTGGATGATGCAGAGAGAACTTTCCTTTGATTGGGATCAGAGAGATCCCCCCAAAGAGGAATCCGAGAGACTCCCCGTGTGAGGAGGGTTTGGTGTGCTGCTGGTTCCCACATGTGGGGGCCCAGGTGTGAGGACTGGAGGCAGAAGGTTGGCCCCTGCTGACTGCCAGCAAGGAAACAGGCCCTCAGTCCTAAACCACAGGGAACCAAATTCATCCAAGGGCATGGATGAGTGAGCTTGGAAGAGGGTCCTCCCCATAGCCCCCCGGTTAGAGCCAGCACCTTGAATCTAGCCCACAAAAGCTGGGACGGAGAACCCAGCTGAGCCAAACCGCATGCCTGACCTGGAGACTGAGACAGTGCGTCAGTGTTGTTTGAAGCCACCGGGCCTATTTGTTACTGCAGCTGTAGAAAGTTCATGCAGACTCACAGGTTCCAGGCCCTTCTGTTCTGACTTCCCGAGTGTGGGCCCCTCCCCAGGAGAGTCCCTGGTGTGTGTCTTCCTCCAGGCCCCAGCCCCACTCCCCTGGGCTCCCCTGAGTGAGGGGATTCCACCATCTGAGGAACCCTTCACTTGGTGTATTTTCCACCACAATGTGGTATTCAGCTCCTGATGTCAGACCACCTGATACTGCTCTCTAAGCCTCCTAAGGGGTCTCCCCAACTCTGGACCTGCCTCTGCCCCCCCGTCCTTCACAGTGCTGTCCCATGCGCCTTCAGGAGCACGGCTTTGCGCCACGGACAGGCCTCCGGGGCGTCCTCTTTCCACTGAGTCAAAAAACCAAGGGGTTTCCCTTGGCTGAGAAGTCACAAGCCTCTGCAGCCTGCTTCACCAGGACTCCCTCTGTGCGCCTACCTCCTCCTCTTGCCCCAGCTGCCCTGGCTGTTCCGGTCCTGCAGGGCCCAGCTCGGGCCAGCGCATCCCTGCAGCCTCGATGGGATCCCCAGAGGCCCTGCCATGAAGCTGTGTGGTGCACAAGGGCTGGCCCCCACCAGACTGTACCTGCTGTGGTCGGGCCTTTCTCCCTGCTCCTCATGCGGAGTGCCACATACACGACACCTGTCACCCGTGCTTGCCACCCAGTCATGGGATGCCTAGTATGAAGGGGAAGGGCAATAGGACATTGAAGGCATGCCCACCGTATTAGGCAGAGTGCAGTTGCTCATTAAAATACCTCTTAAATGACTATTCCGTGGACTCATTTTGCACTATTTTACAAGGGATGTCTCGAAGATCATAAACCATCTCAGAAGTATTTTTACCACACTCTTTCCAAAACAGCATTTATGTTTGCAGGAGCTACTTATAGTGAGTCTGGAGATGGCCCAAACATTGCTGAATGATATTTTACTGTTCATAACATAGTATCACTGTCACTGATTTTATAATAGCGAAGACATAGTGGCTGTGTATGGATCGTCTTTGATTAGATTATTTAATAATTACAACAATGCTCTGAGCTGGGACTTTAGTATTCATATTTTATGACGAAGAAGCAGGCATACAGAGAGAAAGTGAGTTACCCAAGGTCACACAGCTCACTAGGAGTAGAGCCCAGTTTCTCAGAGCAGTTTGGCTCTAGAGCCTTCAGCATCTTCAGCATCTTGCCCCCTAAGCTTGCCACCTCTCTCTACAGCTACCATTTTGTTCCACTCATCAGAGGGAACTTTTTTTCTGGGCGAGTATCATGAACATTATTGCTGGAGTTCGCTGATTCTTACGATTTTTAACCTTTCACGTATGCAGCAGGGCTTTACCAATTTAAAGGCTTTCCTCCCCATTCTCATGTTGAATAATCACAGGGATGTGAGGCTGGTGGCTGTGGCAAGAGTGATGTCCCAAGTGAAATGACCAGGTGTGAAGCCATAAGCTCACGGAACCCCACTGAATCCCCTGGGTGCAGATGCCCCAGGACTCCTCATCCTCAGTCCAGTAACCCTTCTTGCACAAGGTCCCCACACCAGATCGACAGTCGTCCTAGGCCCCCTTGAGGTCCTTGAGCAGGCCCGAATTGGAAGTACTATTTTAGAATTTCATTTTCGGTTTGTTAGATTTTCCATTTTCCCCAAGCTGGGGAAACATGGAGTAGGAAGGAAAAAAAAAATTAAAAAAAAAAAAACAAAACTTTTCCTTATCCCATCCTAGGGAAGCTTGCCAAAGAGTGTGTCCTGTCAGCTGCTGGCTAGATGCCTGTCCCCATCCACAAAAGCCACGTCTGCAGAGAAGGCTCTGGGGAGCCAGAGCCAGCGCACAGCCTGGGGGCCTCCCTAGCAGCCCCGGGCATTTTCTGTAAGCAGCCGACCCCTCTTTGGAATGTGCCTTCAAAAACAGCATCTCCTTGGCTCCGGAACGCCCCTTTGCTGGGAAGTAGCATATTTCCTATTCCCAGTTCGAACACCATCCCCCGCCCCCATTACTTATAATAACTGCACAGGAAGTTCCTTTCCCTCCAGTAAAGATGGTCATCACGTTTTTCAGACTGGTTGTTAACGTTTTGTTCAGTCCCCAAGGGCCTTGACATAGGCACATGAATCACACTTCAGAAAGGTGAGAGATCATGCTCTATGTAGACTAGACAAGACTGAAGTTCAAGTACAGTGCTGGCCCGTGGACTGGCTCTGTGGCCATGGGCAAGTTGCCTAACCTCTCTGAGGCTCCTTCAGTTCCTTGTCTGCAAAAGTGGGGCGGGAGGTGGCAGGGAGATGTAGCCCTAGCAAGGCTTGGAGACCCAAGGAGGGCATGTTCCCTGCCTGGGTGTACACAGTAGGTCCTGGGGTAGCCACCTTCCTTGTGGCACCCCCTTTTAGGTGGGTGGCTTGGCGGGAAGGGTAGTGGAGACCAACAGGAGGAGGTGGGCAGAAAAAAATGAGAGGTAATATAAGCCGTTTGCCGTCGCAAAGGCATCAGGGAAAGGACTTCATGATCTTAACAGTTTTGTTCTAAGGTACTGGGGCCACAAGGCAAGTTTAGGAACTTGACTCCCATCTTTATAAGGGCACTCACGGGCTCGGCTGGAGCGTCAGGTGGCGGGCAGCACCTCCAGGTGGGATTAATGCTCCTGCATGTCCGGCCAGGGGGTGAGAACGTGGACCCTGGGGTCCGAATGTCTGCTGACACATCTGGACACATCTGGACACCACAACTTACTAGCTCTGGGATTTCGGACACTTCAACTTCTCTCTGTGCCTTATTTTTCTCACCGGAAAAAGATTAGCGATAAACAGCCCCTGCCTCCAATTAGGGAGAGATGGAGATGTGGCGCGGTGCACGCGGAGCCCAGAAACAGTGTTCGCCATGCCAAGTGTGAACACCATCAGTTGCTCTAATTGCAGACCCGCCCCCTCATTCGGCATCACTTGCGTGTGATGAGTTTGTGTGGCGTGTGTGTGCGTGCATGCATGCGTGTTGTGTGCACTCCTAGGTTTCCGCCCTAGAACATGAGTGCCCCGTGGCCTTGGGCGCACGGGGTCTCTGTAGGGCATGGGGTGATTTGACAGCCACGTTCCTTCATCCGTCTTGGGGAGAAGGGGTTCAAAGTGTGATCTGAGGAGTGACTGTATCAGAGTCTCCTGGGGGCATTTATGAAAAATATCAGCTCCTGAGCCCCAACCCAGAACCACTGAATCTGATGTTGGAAATCAGCTCCGATCCCTGTTTGGCCTTTTCTTTCTGGTCTCCAGCCAGCAGAGACAGAGCTGCAGACCCTATGCAGAGGTGGTTTATTGCTGCGTGTTCTCCTTATCCCCAGCAAAATGAGGACATTTTGGGGGTGGGGAGCAGGGGAGGACAATTAACATGGAGCCTTTGTTTGACCTTTATCCTGGGCTTATGGAACTTGGCAGATTGCGCTCCTTTCTGTGGGACTGCGTAATTCACACACTCTTTCCCCCAGATAGAGGTGCCAGTTGATTCCAGCTCTTTTAACTAACTCCTTGCTGTTTGCTCTCATTCTGTATGGGGTAAAGAAGAGAGTTTAGGGGGCGCCTGGGGGGTGCCTTCTGCCCAAGTCATGATCCCAGGGTCCTGGGATCAAGTCCCGCATTGGACTCCCTGCTCAGCGGGGAGCCTGCTTCTCCCTCTGCCTGCCGCCCCCTGCTTGTGCTCTCTCTGACTGTCTCTCTCTTTCTCTTAATAAAATCTTTAAAAAAAAAAAAAAAGAAGAGAGTTTGGTCACCAGACCTGTGTTACTTCTCTGCCTCCAAGTCCGTTCTTGGGCAAAGTCGGTACTCTGCACACTCAACAGGGCCATCCAAACCTTGGACGCACTGATGTCTCCCCCGGTGGGGCCTAACTGTGGCATCAGGCTGGCTCTCCTGGCGTTGCAAACTATCCGTGACATAATTCTGTGTCTCCTCCCTTTAAGGCGGTGGTGAGTGGATTGCACAAATGGCCCCAACTCTTCCCCCATGCCCTGTATCTCTGATGCTGGGCTCGATTTTGACTTGCTTTTGCCCAACGCAAGCAGATTCAGATACACTGCAAAGAGTTCTGAAGAAGCGTTTGCATTTACACCGTCGGACCCCCGTCCCCACCAAGAGAGGAACATTTCCGGGCTAGCCTTCGGGTTGCGGGGGGAGGAGGAGAGACACACAGAACATAACCGAGGGGCTCTAATCAATGCTCTTTGAGACCAGCCAACTCCCAGACCCCTGAGTGAGCCCCACGGAGATCATGAGAACCACCTGCCCGGCCACCCAGACACACAGACACTTAGTGTTTATGCCACGGAGCTTTTGTTGTTAAACAGCATTTTTTTTTTTTTTTTTTTTTGGTGGTAGATACGATGAGAATATCAATGATTACTATTAGCTGACTTGAAATCTGCTGAGGGCAGGGGTTGCCATAGCATTGCTTGCATTCGCTGGCCCATCTAATCCTTGTTGAGTATTGGAACAATCTGTTAGGGAAAAACCATTAGAAAAGCCCTCTGGGAGGGGCGCCTGGGTGGCCCAGAGGGTTAAGCATCTGCCTTCCGCTCAGGTCATGATCCCAGGGTTCTGGGATCAAGCCCCACATCGGGCTCCTGGCTCAGCAGGGAGCCTGCTTCTCCCTCTCCCTCTGTCTCTCCCCCTGCTCATGCTCTCTCTCTCTCTCTCTCTCTCTCTCTCTCTCTCTCTGTATCTCTGTGTCTCAAATGAATAAATAAAATCTTAAAAAAAATAGCCCTCTGTGAACCTCCAGCTTGCTGCTGGCTCCCTCAGAATCTCTCTGATCGGCTGGGATCAGTACCATTCCCCCATCCATTTGGTTTCCTATAGTAGCAGAGGTGCCATTTGCTGGATATGCATGGAGGGAGTGAGGCAGTGAATCAGAGAGCAAGAGAATATGAATGTGTGCGCGTGGGCACGTCTGTGTGTGTTGGGAGTGGAGTAGCTCAGGTCCTAGTTTCATGTAAGATGAGAGACCAGCAAATCTCTGTTGACCCAGTGAGTACTTCGGGTCCCAAACCCCACAGCAAGCCTGTTCTGTTCCTCAGAAGGAAAACGATTGAATACAGATATCTATTTAAGAACTTACTATGGGTGAGGGGGGTCTAGCAGCCCCTCCCACCCCCCGCTATTTGGGGCACTTGCTCCACACTTGGCCCTTTCTGGCCATTATCATTTGTTTCTCACCAAAAGAGTCTGCAGGGAGGAATTGCCCTCCCCACCTTGAAGATGAAGAAATAGCTCAGAGACATCAAAGGAATTCCCCAAGCCCACACAGCGAAGAAGGTAGCCGCACAAGGGTTGATGTCCATGGCCTCCTGACAGCAAAGACAGCCTCTTATCAACCCCATCACGCTCTGTGGGGGTCTTAGCAGGCTTCTGGCCCGAGCCCGTCATTGTGTCCATGAGGAAGTCTGCCCCCCGAGAGCAGAGGCCTGGCTTGCCCCGGCCACACACTGTGAGCAGGTTATCTGACACCCTTCTGGGCCCTGTGGTGTGTCTGGATGAGATCTCATGGGTCAGTGGCATCACTGAAATGCCTTGATAGGTTTCCAGCGAAGGCGTTAGCAGTTTCCAGGCGTGCACCTCAGCTCCTGGAAATATGCAGTGAGACGTACAGATTGTCCGAGCTGCTGGGCGTGGGCTGCTTTCACCCCACCGAGAGGCTGTGGCGGGAAGCCCCCACTCCGGGCACTCGGGGGCTGAGAGTGGGACCTGGGCCAGGGTGCAGGCTTGCGCCTGGCTGGGCTGGAGGAGGAGGGAGCGGTGGGCAGAAGCCCTGCTTGGCCAGCTGCCCTGGGCACCTGCTATCCTCCTGTGTTTGCTCAGCGAGTCGGGAGAGGAAGCAGGATGCTTTCCGTTGGGCCCTGGGCGTTCCGGGCCTCGGGGGCCAGCTGCTGGGGCTGGCAACTTCTCCGGGGACCTGTCTCTTGGCCTCTCTGTACCCCCTCTCTCTCAGCTACCTGACAGGCAGGTAGTAATCCCATCCCCATCTAACGTGACCCTGGGGCAAGACAGGAGACCCCGCTGGTGTGCATGGAACAAACACTGGCAAGGGGCCCGGGAGCTCGGCATTGGGCCCCTGCAGCCCCCAGAGGGAGCCAGGCCCCCTCTGGCAGCATCCCAGCACCTGCAGATGTCCACGTCGAGAAGTATCTGCTGGAGTTCTGGCCAGGAGAGCAGCTCCTGTGACACGCCGCCTTTGACTAGACATTAGCAATGGTTTAAATTCACCCAGAATTTCAGGACAGCTCCCTTCCTGTCAGAACCGTGAGAGAAATGGGTTCCGAGGCCACTTCTTACAGGGCATTGCCATAACCAACACGTGGAGAACTTTCTGGTTTACAGAGCCTCGCGTGTAGCAGCGCATGTCCAGTCTCCCACAGCCCGGGAACGAAGCATCGCCAGCCCCATCCTACAGTGAGGTGTTTGAGGCCAAGAGACTTTGTGCCCTGCCCCGTCCTTAACAGGGAGAATAAGGCTGGAAGCCAGGTCTTCCCCCTAAAGGTCCAGACTTCTTTCGAATTCACTCTTTGGCATTTGGGTACGTGAAAAAAGCCATGGGTTTTCTCTCCAGGGAGTTTGCACTCACATAAGGTCAGAGTCGAAAGAAAGAAACTAATATTTCCATGAGCTACTTCTGGTCTAGGCTCTGCTGTGGGGTGTCTCACTTAACTCTTCTGAGCAGGTTTTATTCACCCCCGTAGTACACCCAAGACAGCTGGGGTGTCTAGACGTGAAAGGCCTTTCCCCAAGTTCCATAGTAAGTAGAGGCAGCAGGTAGAGGGTGGCCCTTCCTCTCAGCATGCCATGCAGGGGTGCCAGGGCCCACGGGGGGTGGGGGTGCAGTGGGGAAGCTGCCACACCTCCTGGGAGGGCTGAATAGCACCCAGAGCCGTGCATGCTCTGCTGGTCCTTTTCCCTCGAAAGGCTCTTCTCCTTCCAGCCTCTCTGCCGCCCGTCCAGAACCAGGGGTCTGGGGTATGGAAGGACAGACCTCCGTGGTTCCTTGGCTCCAGTACCCTCACTTACCAAGCCAAGGGTGGTGCGATGGGCCCCAGCCTCCTCGGCCTGTGCTCTGAGGCTCTTGTCCTGTCCGGCCACACCTGGTCCCTCCCTCTCTTTCCCCTGATCACCCTGAGCTCTCCTACGGGCCACCTCTTGTGACCCTTGATCGTCAGCTGCTCTGCACAGTGCCCCCAGTTCCATTTACATGTGGCTCTCATCTCTGGAAAGAACATGAGGACCTCTCCGGCAGGGACCAGGCGTGACTGTGTCTTTGGATCGGGCTGGAAGTTGGGGCTCTGGGATGGTGGGACCCCGTTCCCTGCCTGTGTGGCTGAGGGCAAGCTGCGCATTGTCTCCCCAGTTAAGCGGCCACTGCTCCCCCCCCCCCCCCGCCAGTGTTCTCTTGTGACAGTTACAGTGGATCCAGGCGTCTGGGTGCTTCGAATCTGCCAGCTTCTCTCACTCCACGTGGCAGTGATTCCCCGGGAGCTAGCGAGATGCAGTTGGGAGAGCCTTTTCCCGGGGACAGGAGTCCTGTGCTCCGTCATGGGCGTACCCCCACCTGGCAGTGGGCTGATGGGCTTGGCCGCCGGGGGCACTTACCGAACATGCACAGTGCGCCAGGCACCGAGGCTCAGGGGCTGAATCACATGCCCGAGGTCACAGTCGGTGATGGAGGCAGGAAGGGAGCCCAGGCATTCCGTCTGTGGGTCCCACATGGGCACTTGACGGCTGTGCCATGTGACAAGGCTCTGTCCTGTCTGGGACCCCGGGATCCCATCCTCCCGGGCCTGTCATTCTGGTTCATGGCTGGTCCTCGGCGCCTCCTAGTGTCTGGCTCATAGCGGGTGTTCGTCCACGTTGGACAAGTGGAGAAATGAGCGAATGAGTTCCTCTGAAGTGCACAGATGCCTACCTGAGTCCTGTGGATTCCTAACCGGCACAAAGGGCTGCCCCCAGCTGCCCGCCACTTGCCAAGGCCCAGCTCCCCCCCATCCTCAGGTTCCTCACTGTACAGTCGCCACCCCTGGGACCTGCTGCTGGCTGCGCATTGCCCACCGCAGCCCTCCCTCCCCCCCTGCCTCCCCGCTCCCGCCCTCCATCCCGCCACGGGAGCCTGCCAGACCAGCCCACATGGCCTCCTTTTGTTCTCCCATCTCCGTTTCAGGCTAGCCAGCCCAGCCCGGTCCCCCAGCTTGCTTGGCACACCCCTTTGAAGCCTTGCCAGTCAGCCAGAGGAACACACAGGGGCCGGGGCTGGTGCCAGGGCGCTGGCGGCTCCTGCCCACCTTGCTGGCTCCCCAGGCCTGGCTGTTCCGGGGCCCATGCCCGCAGGGACAGCAGTGCCCGGATGTTTGCCTAGACTGGCATGAACCTTCACCAGGGCTAGCTGCTGGAGTCCTTTCCCAAGCCTGTCCTGTCATGAGCCCAGCTCTAGTCCCCACAGAGGAGAGTGTTCAGCGGGAACCGCCTGGCTGGGTTCTCAGCTCTCTAAGGAGAGACGCAGGATGGGGGTGGGGTGGGGGTGCTGAGTAGAAACACAGACTTTGGCTACAGACATACGTTGAGCACCTCACTCTGCCATCGCTAGCTGTGGGACTTACCTGCTTCCTGCCTCAGTTTCTCTTTGGTAAGCAGGGGAAATAGAACACCTGGTTCATGGATGTCCGGTGAGGAGGAACGAAGTACTGCATGTTAGCACACTGTAAGCATTTGAGAAACAGTTGCTGGGACGCGTTACCATCATTGGTGGTGTTCGCTGAGGTTGCCGAGCCTTGCAGCACCAGACAGAGCGGGAGGCAGTATCTGAGCCCAACCTGACCTCTGGAGGCCTGGCCTAGCTCCCTGCCCCGTCGGGCACCTGCCAGGTTTACCCAGGTGCTTGCAGGACAGCCGACACCCAGACACTTGTCCGTGGAGGTCTTTGTGGTTCCCTGAGGCACAAGAAGGTGTGTTCTATGAAAACAGGGACCTGAGTCTGCCTGCCTCACGCCTGTGCCCCCAGTACCTGTCAGGTGGGTACCCTGTTACTAGTCACTGAGTGAATGAACCAAGTCAAGTCCGCTTCCCTTTTGATCCCATTCTTCTTGCTCACACCTCGTCCTGGCATTCAGCATGTCTCCCCACGTGTCCCCTGCACTAGCTTGTGTGCTCCTGAGGCCAGGACCAGGTCAGATTAGCTTTTTTTTTTTTTTTTTTTTAAGGTTTTATTTATTTATTTGAGAGAGAGAGAGAGGAGTGAGAGGGACAGGCAGACTCCCTGCGGGGCTCGATCCCAGGACCCCGGGATCATGAGCTGAGCAGAAGGCAGACATTTAACCAACTGAGCCACCCAGGCGCCCCAGGTCAGATTAGCTGTGAATCCCTCAGCCGAAGTGGCCTGGAGCAGGTGCCTGGAGCAGGTCCTTGGTACTTAAATATTGAATTGTGGATGCAGGGATCTCTGCACTCTGGATTCCAGGCAGTGCCGTCACCGCAAAGCTTTTCTGAACCCTTTCATCACATGCAGAGGTCAAGTTCCCCGGCCCCATCAGTTGCCAGGCATCTGCCTGCTGCCATTGGTCCAGGAGCAAGTTGGCCATCAGCCCCTGCCTGGCACACCTGGGCTGTTCCAGAACAGACCTCACGGCCGAGGGTTAAGTAACACCCAGAGTGGTTATAAGGCCAGGCACCTCCTCTTTGCGAGTCTCCCGGGTTGCTTGGCGGGGGGCTGGGGGCTGGCAGGGGAGGGACCTTGGCACCACTGTTCCCTGTAGCTGCCACCAGCAGAGCCTTTGATGCCACAGGGGCGCCTGCCCAGCCGAGCGCATCATAGAGGACAAAAGCTGCAGAAGCAGCACAAGTGAAGTGAAAATGACCCGGGCACTGGCAGAGAGCTTGTCTGCCTGTTTCCTGGTTGTCAGTGCGGGTGCGGGAAGGCATGGGGGCGCGTTCTGGGAACTTGCTGTGGCCCGCCCATCGCCTGGGTCCCTGGGGGAGCGGGCCTGGCGCTGCCTTCAGAGCGAGGCAAGTCCCTTTACGTTTCTCAGAGCCCTCGTGAGAATTCGAGGAGTTGAGACACTTCACGTACCTGCTGTGTGGTGGTCTGACCGTTATCAGCAGCAGCCCCGAGAGTGGCAGCTCACCGGCTGACCGTACTGAGCATTTACTATGGGCCGAACACCGTTTTACTTGCTTTGTGTGTGTTAACTCATGTAGTCTTCATAATGACACCGTGAGGTAGGGAGCGCTATGATCTCCATTAACTGAGGCTCAGAGATGTTGAGTAACTTCCCCACGGCCGTACAGCTACCAAGAAGCCGATCTGAAATTCAAACCAAACCCTCCCAAAGTAGAGCGCATGCATATAAGCACCTCCCTACACATTTTTTTCCTTCTACTCTTGAGAATTATGCTTCCCTGTGGATGGTGATGGTGATGACAACCTTCAGGATGCTGGGGGTTGTGATGGCAGTGAAGGGGACAGGGATGATGATAGAGGGCGTGGCCTCATTTTGTGTCGTGACCTGCTTCTTGCTGGAATTTCAAACTCGTTTGCGTATCTAGTCCTCAGAGCAAGCCCGGGAAGGGGGGCGTAATTCTGAGATCTGAGGAAACTGAGCCTTATGAGGTGGCCAAGATGCACACAACCATGTGGGGGCCTCTGCAGGGCCTGGAGCTGGGGAAGAGCAGATGGGGGTGGGCCCGTGGCTCCCGACCCTGACTTCAAGGGTGGACACAGGGCTGCAGGAACCTCTGCTTCACCATGCCAGGGCCTGGCAGGGACGGAGATCTGGGGCTGCAGCACTGGGAGGGGGGAGAGGTCACCCCCACCCACGCCGCCTCTTTGGACATTGGCCGGCTCCCTCAGGATGGTAGACTGAGGCTCTGCGGTCCATCCAGTGGTGATTACAGACCCTCTCACTGAAGGTGGTGGGATCACAGCTCCCATTCATCAAGAGCAAACACTTGTTTGTCTCATTTAATCTCCACAGTGGCCCTGGGAGGTCCATGTTATTACTGCCATCCTACAGACTGAATATAAGATTTATTGCCCCAGTAATGCCGCGTATCAAGCAACAGCACCTCACTGGTTCCGATAATAATAAGCATTTATTGCCTCCGCATCTGGGCTGGTTGGCCAAGTGGCTCTGCTGATCTTGGCTGGACTTCCCCCGTGTCTGGGCTCGGCTGTGGTCAGTCCGTCTAGTCTCTGGGGAGTGTCTCAGCTCTACTCTGTGTGTCTTTCATCTCCTGGGTCCAGCAGACTAGCCTGGGAACGTCCTTCTGAGAGCTGGCACTTCACGCAAGGGGGAAGGGGTCAGTACTGTGATTCCTGAGGCTTCATGAGCTGGGGTGCTTTCTCAAGGTCGCCCAGCCCAGAAGTGGCTCAGCCTCCAGTGGAATGTCCTTGGCCTGTCTCCTGGGTGCATGTGTGCAGGAGCCCAGACCCGCGCCCAGGTCCGACTCAGGAGAAACGTGCAGCCAGTTCTCCAACACAGTGCTCCTTGGAGACTGGATGCAGGGAGGAAAAGACACTGTAGGACAGAAAGACAGTGACCTTTTCTTCCAAGGGGTGAGGAGAATTTCTGGTTTCCCATAAGCTTCCCTCTGGGTGGCCACCCCAGAGGTTAGACCATAGTAGATGATTCCCCTTGAGACCCCAGATTCTCTCTTGAGACCCTTGGGACAGGGGGCTTCCCAAATGTCAGTGTCCTGGAGCGGCGAGGCCCTTCAGCCGTAAAATAGTCACAGTGCCGGGCGGGGGCCTCACTGGTTGAATTGCCAGCCTTGAGGATCAAAACCAAGTCAGGGCTCTGATTTTGAAGATGGCTTCAAAGGAAGGGACTTCTCATTGTAGGGTTAGAGTTGTGGCCCCTCCTCCTTTGACCCCCTTCACTCATGGCAGAGTCCCAAGGAGTAAAAATGCCAGATGCTGTCTTTGACCTCTGTCTCAGGGGCTCTTCCCCGAGGGGCACTGTCCTCCACCTGCTGCCCTGGACCCCTCGCCATGCTTTGCTTGCTTTCCCGGACCAAGATACGTGTCTGGGGATGATTGCTGGGAGGCCAGACTGGAAGGCTGGGCAGCCACCTACTTTGCCGGCGCACCTCCCTGGCGGTAGGAGGCATTACCATCTGTGCCTCTTTTTGCCTTGACCTTTGGCCTGATAAAGGCCAAGTGCAGAGCCTCACGTGGGAGAGAGAGAAACAAGAGACCCCCCCTCCCCCCCTTCTTCCCTTTCTTCCCTTGTCTCTCACAGACTCTGTACATAGTCTGTGCCAAACATCAACTCAGGTATTTATTTTTCCCAGTGAGCTGAACGTTTATAAAGAGCACGCCCTTCCATCCGTCAGAACTCTAGTATTCTCTTATTCCTGGAAAACTCCTCTTCATCCTTCGGGACCTTGCAGCAGAGCCCGCTTCTCCGTGAGACTCTCCTCACCCCAGCAGCTGGAGCCTCCATGTGGGAGCGCGGCCTCAGCAGGACACCGTCCGGGTCCAGAGAGCACTGCCGGCACTGGTCAGGTTTATCTGTGTGTGTCCACCGAGCCCTCTGAGAACAGTGGCTGTGGTTCCATCATCTCTCTGTCCCCGGGGCCGCCCCCGTGCCGAGCACGCGTGGACGTCACCTTGGTGAGCAGAGTGGCTACATGAGTGTGACTGCACGTGGGATACCCTCAGGTCAGCAGAGGACTTGGGTCCCGCATCCCTCAGCTCTGGGTTAGACGCTGGAAAGCCCTCCTGTCGCACCAGCTACAGACAAAGCCTGTGGCCCCGGGGACACGGTTTGACCCTCGTGCTTGGCAGATTTGTGCCCACGTCGGAAGAGCCCAGCCTGAGACTTCGAGACTCAGGAATCCTTTGTTTGCCTTTTCCCAGCTGGTAACTTTTGCCTTGTGCTTCTATTTCCCCACTTGTAAAATGAGCACAAAACCCAACGTTTCCTTTCACCTTGTTGGCTGAAAAGAATTGAGACGACTGTTTGCAAAGCTCAGGCGTGAGCAGTGGCTATCATTGCCGTGGTCTTTTCCCTGAGAAGGAACCGTTTCTACGGTTTCTTGGCAGGGGGGAGGGCGGGGGTTGGCAACCAGAGCTTTTTGTGGCCAAGGTCCGGTTACCTGGAGGCTTCTCCAGTGTCTTCTCTCTGCAGGGAAAGTGCCTTCATCAGAACACAGCAGTGAGCCATCTGGCTACCCCAGCCCTGTCTGGATTCCCAGCAAGTCTGCAGGAAAGGAGCTGCCTGTTGCCCGCTGACCTGCTGTGCGGACAGCAGTAGCTGTGGGAACACACCGGGACAGGGAAACACACTGCGCACGGGGAGTCCATCCCCGGGCCAGTAAGGTGCCGGTGCTTTGCAACTGATAACGTGTTCCCAGTGGACACATACCTGCTAGTGAAGCCTCCTTTCCCTCTCGCCCTTGTGTGGGGGGGCTCAGGGATGATGCAAGACTGTAGGGTTGTGTTCCCACCCTGAGCCCTCCCTTTTTCTTCCCTGCCTTCTCCTCTTCTGCATTTCCTGGGCCCTTACTGTCTAGTGGGCACCATGCTACGTGCTGGCTGTAGGAGGAGGAGTGACACGTGGTGCGGGAGAAAGACAGGTCCGCACATGTGGTTGGCTCCATCACAGCCCCCCAAAGATCTCCACATCCTAATCTCCGGAACCTCTGCCTGCCACCTTGTAGGGCAGAAGGGATTTTGGCGGAAGCAATGAAGTTAAGCATCTTGAGATGAGATTATCCTCGCGTGTCTAGGAGGATCTAATGTAATCTTAAAGTGTCCTTAGGAGAGGGAGGGAGAGGGAGATGTGACCCCCTGACCAGGGAAACAAAAAGAAGTGATGCAGCCGGGAGCCCAGGAATGCGTGCAGCCTCTAGAAGTGGAAGACGTAAGGACCATATTTTCCCTTGGAGCCTCCAGAAGGAACCAGCTTTGCTGACACCTTGATTTTAGCGCCTTATCACTTATTTTGGTCTCCTGACCTTCAGAACTGTAAGAGAATGAATTTGTGCTGTTTTTAGCCATGATGTTGGTGGTAATTTGTTAACAGTAGCAATGGGGAAACTCGTATGACAGATAAGTGCCGCCTTGTATGATGATGAAGGAGCCGGCAGTGGCTCAGTGGTTCAGAGCAAGACCCCTGGAGTCCCAAAGCCCTGATTCAAGTCTGTTTCTACCTTTCATCGGTTGAGGGGCCTTTTGGCCCATCGCTTTTCAAAGCTGCTCATCCCTGCCCTGTGCCTCCTCCTCCATCAGCAGGGCTGCCGCAATGTAGGGAGACAGCTGGAGAGGCTTCGGGGCTGGGTCTTTTGGTAGGGGATGGTAGGGCCGGCAGGAGTTGTGGGTTTTTCTGGACCGGTCACTGGCCCCTGATCCTCCCCGGGTAGTGCAATTCACAGAAATCCCCAGTTTTTCCTTTTAAGCTACTCTTGAATATAATAAGCTCCTTTATTGAGTAAAAATGTATCTCACCCCTCCCATGTTCCTGTCATCGAGTGTGTGGAGCCACCGCGGGCCATCCAGGTATCCTGGGCTCGGGCTCCTTCCTTGGGACATTCGGCGTTGGTGCTGCTCTGGCTTGTCAGTTGCAGACCCCCTGTTGGGACTCTCACTTGGCAGCGGGCCCCCTGGACCCCTTTTCTCATACCAGGGGTATTGAGGAGGTATTAACTGCAGGAATTGAGGATCCCTGGGCAGTGGGCGGAGCTCAGGCTGCTCAGAACCAAGCACTTCGGGGGGGCCCTGTGGCGGCCACACTCCTGAGAAGTTGGAGCCCTTGTGCCCATTTTACAGATTGTGCCCCGGAGGGCTGTGACTGGGTAACACTGTCTTCTCCTCTAATCCCGCACATCCGCTCAGAGGTGAGTGATCATTCTTCCTGCTTGCACGCAGGAAAACTGAGGAACAGAGAGGCTGACTTGCCTGTAGTCACACCAGAGCCTGAGATCAGGGCTTGGCAGTGAGGTTCTGTTGGCAAGTGGAAGCGGGGCACAGTCTGTTCCAGGACGGAGAAGGCGCCAGGCGGTTCAGTGAACATCCACTCTGTCCCCAGGCTGTCTCAGGGCCTTCCCCACAGGCTGTCCCATTAAGCCCTGCCTCCCCCTCTTGGGCAGACTCTTCACCCCTATTTCTCAGGTGAAGCAACGCCAAGCCTGGACACTTAAGTATTTGCCAAAGCATTTACCTAAAGGGCAGAGGAGCTAGGTTCAACTAGGGTCCTCCTGACTCCTCAGACCCCTCCTTTCTGCATTCCGAGGAGCTCACTGATATTATAAAAGGCAGTTCAGATGCTTAACTGGAAAATTGGAGAAATGTAACATACAACGGACCTTGCCTATTTACACGAATTAAATGAAGAAACAGTTTAAACATTACTATCCATTGCTTTAATGAGGCTAGAGGACACCATGTGCGTGTATGGGCTGCCTGTGGCAACTGGTAGAATGTTTGGAATGGGTTTTGTTAGCATAGGATGCAAAAATAGCCTTGATGGTGTCTGCATCTTTTCACTCCGTTACCTTGTTTCTCCGTTGTATCCTAAGGGGTAATTCAAAGAAAGAAAAAAACCTATTTTGTGCAAATGTCTATTAAATCATGATTTTTTTTTTTTACCTTTGATTATGGAAAATTTCAAACATCTAGGAAAGTAGAGAGAATACTGTAATGAACACCTGTATACACCCCTCATCCTGTTTTAACAGTTATAAACCTTTGCTTTATTTACTTCATCTTTTTGTTTCTAAAATATTTCCAAGTAAGTGGTAAGACATAGTGATATTTCATTTCCAGATATTTCAGAGTAACTTTAGTTATGATAATAAAAAGTTGAAACCAAACTTGATTAAATGGAGACTGTTTAGATAAATATGATTACCCACCTGGTCCAATATTATGAGACCCTTAAAATTATCATTTTGAAGCTCCTATTACAAGCTTTCTTAGAGTTCGATGCTTTGCCTTTTTATACGACTCACCATAGTTTCTAATAATTTCATTGTTCGGTTCTTTAATTAAGGTCTGTTTCCCCTATTTCTTTGGTGGGGACTGTGTCCTATTTGCTCACCATTTTGTCTTGACTGCCCATGAAGGTGCCTGGCAGATAGCAGGTGTAAAATAAAATTGGTTGAATGAATGCCACATGAGCATTATGAGATCCTTGAAATAACATGCTGAGTGATGCAAGCAAAATCACATAATCTCACATGAGCACAGTGTGAAAATATGTTTGCATGTAGATGACTTCTAGAAAGGCCGCTTCGAGAGTGTCAAGTTTTTATGCCAGCGTGATGGGAAATACAGGTGAGCTTTGCTTTCCTGCTATGATTTCCATCATGTTGTGGTCATGCGGTTGTAACATCGAAGAGTCTGTCAGCCGCCGCCGTGCGTCCTGCTTACTCTGTGCAGTGCCAGAGAGAAGGAACGTGGGCCTACAATGGGAAGTCTTGCTTCGAAGCTCCCACTCCCCTGACTCACCGTGGGACCCTGGGCGAGCTCTGAACCTCGCAGAGCTGAGTTCCTGCAGCTTGCAAGTGTGGGAGTGGCCCCCGCCCCTCTGCATTTCTGCAATCAGATGTCGTCGTAATGCATGGGGCACAGATGTGAATGCACACTGTAAAATGTTGCCTGAGCGGGCGGCTCCCCAGGCTTCCCCACTATGACGCTTGGCCCTGCAGCTACCCTGATGCCCCCCGACAGAGAGCCCACGAGCAGATCCACTGAGTGTACTATACAGTTAGGATTGTCTTAGGTATCCATCCGAAAATTCCTGCTGATCGTAAACGGGAAGGTGATGGCTAATTAGCTCGGAGAGCTTCCTCCATGCTCACCCATCTCACTAACTGATGGGTCCATCAGTCATCCAGCGGTATTTACTACACTGGGGCTATGTGTTCATTAGCCCTTGGCAGTTGCCCACCCTGCCCAGACTCTGGATTTTAAGTGGCACTGGAGTCTGTGGATATCTGGTCCTTGGGGTCACGAGGGAGGATGAAGGTGGTTCAGCCAGGGGATGAGAGCCAGGATCATTACCCTACAAGAAGAACTTTTAGTGGAGGAATCCTGGCTGACTCTCCCCTCTCCTTTCTTCCAAAGGATCTGGTCAGGATATTAGAGCCTGTATGAGTTTCCCAGGGTGGCCATAACAAAGCACCACAAACTCGGTGGCTTACCCAACAGAAATTTATCCCCTCACAGTTCTGGAGGCCAGAAGCCCCAAATCAAGTCCCAACTCAAGTTAGGGAGACCCCATGCTCCTTCTGAAGGCTCTATCGGAGGATCCTTCCTTGCCTCTTCCTAGTGTCTGGTGTAGCTAGGAACCCTGTAGCGTAGGGTCCTTGGCTTGTGGCCTTCATCCTGGACTTCTTCCCTGTGTGTAACAGTCTCTGCACCTCTCTCCTTATAAGAGCACCCGTCACTGGAATTAGGGCCACGTTAATCCGCTATGACCTCATCTCAACTCGATTGCATCTGCAAAGAGCCTACTTCAAAATAAGATCCCATTCATAGGTACTTGGGGTTAGGATTTCCGCATATCTTTTTGAGAGATGCAGTTCAACCCATAACAGACCCCAGAGCAAAAGCAATTCCTTTTGCTCCTGACCACCGGCACTATTCCCCAAAGGGGACCACTGCTTAGCGTGTATGTAGATGGACGACTTATTTTTCACATGGGATCTGGACGCGTCCATTTCTACTCATCATCCCTTTTGATTCTATGATAATCCTATCATACATGTATTCGGGCATGCAAAACATACTTTTGGGCCACCCCCTGTGAGCCCAGGCCTATGCTTAGTTCTGAAATAGAAGGATATAAAAGGCCAAGGATTTTCAGTTGGTCGAAAAGTCTGCCAGAAGCTCCCCCTTCCTTTCTAGTCTGTATACGC